ACTTTCTCTTATTTATCTGATACAGGTAGTGTGGGAAGATCTCTCCATGGGATAAGGATTGTATCTGCCAAATAAAATAAGGCATAAAACATTTTCGCTGGAGTTCCAATTTAAAGTATTCATACTCACCTAAGCAGTTGCATCATCATTCCAATGCTGCATCTGTCTCCCACCGCCTCTACACCAAGAACTGAACAGTCAAAGATTACTGATCACTCAGTTTTTGGTCTTCAGTGAGCAGAGACCTGGTGACTGTCTCTGCTCTGCCCCTCCAGTACTCACTGGATCACTGGACTGTGGAGGGGAGCGGGAGCAGCTTTCTCTGGCTTTCGGTGCTTTGCTGAGAGGCTAAGCCAGCTACCAGTCAGGCATCTACGTGGATCCTGACATTAAAGACGGGATCCCTCCAGCGTCTGAACCAGCTGAGTGATGTCAGTCAAGAGCGGATGTTAACCAGCTGTCAGCTGAATATGGGTCACAAGAGTGCAGAACTAAGTGCACTCCTGTGACCTACAGGAGAAGTAGGGTCAAAAGAGCTTTGGCCTCTCTTCTACTTTAGTTGTTTTTTTTTTATTGCTCTTTGTATCCCTTATAGACAGTTTTCCTTCACTTCGCTTTGCCCTTACTGAGAGAATAAATGACTTAACAAAAAAAGATAGATTTAGTATACGTATATCAGTACGCTATGTTGGCATTAAACATATCAGTTACAGTCTCATGATATACAGATCGGGGGAAAAAAGCATGTAAACTGATCTCAGACAAGATGTACTCTTTCACTTTATATGCTTGGCTGTGTTTTTGATCATTGAGATGTGACCTAAAAAGCTTTTCTTAAAACCATAATGGTGCTGTAAACAAGGAAGCAAGATAGATTGATAGTTTGAGTAACAGTCAGCTGATATCATATGCTGACTGGCTCATACTTGCGTGCTAAGGGAAGCCACATCAACAGCTATAATATTGCAGTCACTAGAGGTTAATCTGAGCTGGAGTCATTAGAGCATGGAAGGTTTACTAAAGCTCTTGTATTACTTACAGAAAAAAGCTAAATCTTATACCTGCTTAAAAGTTTAGCATTTTACAATTTTTTATTCAAGGACAGAAACAGTTGCATTGTGTGGAAAGGTGGGTTTTCTAGTTTAAAAAGTTATTTTATTAAGCTATATGTGAACTTTTACCTTGTAAAACAGCCCATTCAGTTTACAATAGAAACAAAAGGCAAAACATTTGTGTGTGTACAGTATATATATTTTAAAAAATATAAATACCTTTTATTACTTTTTTTTCTTTTTTTTTTATAAGTGATCACACAACATCTGTCAGATGCATAAAGGTCTTAGAATGCTAGGGGTGGAGAAACAGTAGTACATTGATCTTCTCAGTGAATGGCTGTGCAAGGGGGGTTGTCAGAACAAGTCTTGGCCATTGGAGTACAAGCAGGCTGTTCCCCCAGCACAGCAAGAAAACTGACCATGCTGGAATGGATGTACTCTTATGCCTAGCATGGTCAGTTTGAAATAGGAAATCAGGGGGACTGGAAGGATCACCAGGTATGCAAAGTTAGACGCTATAATGCAAAACAGGTTTAAGATGGCAAAGATCATGCATACACTGAATCATTATACAAACAGATTATTATAGTATCATAAACATGGACTCTTCACAGCAATGTCCCCATGGCTCCATGAGGGTAACATGTGGCTGCATAGCATTATCTCTGTAGCCAGGTGCTGGCTATATCATTATGTTATTCAGGGTGATTTTCAGATGAGACTATGACACTGTCACTATCATCTCTGCTTACAGCACTGACAACCTGTCAGGCGGTAACTCTGCACTTGTGCAAGAACCCTGTTCCTAGGAGGCCATGTTATCTATGGGATTGGTTAGCGGGCAAACATCCAACCTCTTTCTGACAACACTCTAGAGGCACTGCATGCAGACACCTTTACATCTCAGTACCAAGGGACCTTTGCTTTGAACATTTACCACAGCCTGTTTGTTATCTTCACAGAATTACTATAAGTCACTACTGTATATGGGCCCCACCATTGCTAGCAGAAGACAACAAATACTATCACATCAAAAGCTTTAAACATCTCAGGACTCAAGTTGCTATTTCTAATTAAAGGGACCTCTTCCCATCTAAGCCATTGTACATTTATTTATATATTTACATAATTCTTTACATTCAATATTGTGAGGCCGGTGGCTCAGAAGGAGCTGATAAGTCAGCAAGCTTTTTCATCCCTCTCCTGCTGGTGTTGCAGTTATATAATTACAACATACCATTTGTGACTGTGTAATCTGTTAACAGATTTTTTTGTTTTTTAATTTAGTATTTTTTGTTAGGAGATGTTGCTTCATTAAATAAATACATTGTGAGTTTAATAGGCTTTTCACCTAAGTTCACACTATTGTGGGTCCTGCATGTGGCATTTGCACAGGTGCAGCAGCCCATTCATTTCAAAGAGCTGCTTTACCTTGGGGAAACGCAGGGGGAAAAGTCCCTCTTTTTAAAAAAGCAGTTGCAGGGCATCGCATGGTGCTTTGGCACTATGCGGTTTCAGGCTCTGGAAAATGTGTCATGTCTTCCAATTCATAGGGTGTCATTAACAATTAATGGCAACGCAAATATGGCAAATATGCATGGTTTTTAGACCTCCACAGATCTGAATCTAGGCTTAAGGAAGGTAAAATCATTACCACTAGAAAATTTACTGGGCCTGGCCCCACTAAATAATAGTGTCTGAAAATATTGTGTTGCCTTTAACAACCAGCCAGTGTCTTAGTTAGATAATGGTTGAAGTGGAGGAAAGAGATTACCTAACTGGCTGCAAAAATGACATAACATAAGATTCCTCTTTGGACACTATGCGGTTTCAGCTCTGGAAAATGTGTCATGTCTGGGTCAGAAATACCTTCAGGTTCACACCTATGCAGTTTGCGTTTGATCTATTTCTGCAGTGCTTTTTGCGATGCGTTTTGGATTTTTGCACATGCATTTTTGACGGTTTTATTTATTTATTTTCTTGTTGCTAGGCAGATTAAAATGCAAAAAGCAGCAAAAACGCACTACATGCTTTTCTGCAGCGTTTCCATTGAAGTCTATGCTGCTTGAGGTGATTGTAGCCGTATTAGTGCACTTGCAACAGAAACAATTGAGTACTGTCCGTGATACTTTTTTTATTTGCACTAACATACAATTTTGAGGACAAGCTTTCGGGGTATGTCCCCTTCTTCAAAGTCCAAACAGTACTATTACAAATCACAAAGTTTAAGCAGAATGTTAGAAGGGATTGAGAAGGAAAAAAAAAAAAAGGCTACAGATAAGATACATCAAGAGTGAGGGGGGGGGGAATACTACACTCACACAGAGGGGGTCAAACTTCAGCTAATAGATAGACTAACGAAAATGCGGAGATGTGAACGTGCTCCATAAAAAAACATGTTAAATGGACTGCAGTGCGTTTCTGCAAAACGCTGCAGAAAATGCTTAGGTGTGAACCTAGGGTCAGGGTTTGATTGTTGTCTTTGTTCCTATTTGGGAGATCTAACCTCACTATATGACCAAGGTCCTTTCTAGTGAAAGTCAGGGAGGTATGCAACATTTTAGGTTCTCACTGGAACAGGAGTAGAGAGCATATCTTTCATAAGGCATACTTTTTGTAAGGCAGTGGGATTTCTTCTAATTATCTGGAGATTTCCACCTACTTTACTGTGGTATCTCTGGGGACAGGAAGTGCAGGAAAGCCTTCTTGATGGGCAACATTGGCAAAATACCCTGATAAAGGGCCTGACTTTGCTATTATTTAAAAAAAAAAAAATTTGAGATGATAACTGCATTAGATGCAAATAGATATAACATACCTTTCTTCCTGAAACCTTTAAAGCAAACTTGTCTTTTTGAGTAAATTACTGCTGCAGATACCACTATGACCACTAAAGCCAAACATGGAATTACGATTTTCATTTTATTGGAAGGGTCATAATTCTCAATATCTGGAGAAAAAGTAAAATTAAATTAATATTAATGTATTAAGCAAAAACTAAAACAATGTGATGATATATTATTTAACTATTTAAGTCAAACAGTTTCCATTTTAAGAGCAGTGTATCAAATGCCAAAACACCATTGTTTAAAAGTATATGTTTCTAGGGGATTTTTTCATGTAATCATATACAGTAGAAAACAAAATTAGCACCGATTTTTAAACATTTACTAATAAATTAATATGCATTCCTCAAAAGAAGTATGAAAATGATACACTGTCAGTTGTCTAAGGACTGTGATTGACTAATAATTAATAAATAAAACATGAGCTGTGCAATTCCTTTCATAAAGGTTTGTACAACTGTAATCATTTCAACACAGTTGTTATGTTTCATTAAATACTGTGCTGTTTAAAGTTAAAATGAATATATATTATTATTATACAGTATTTATAAAGCGCCAATAGTTCGCTCAGCGCTGTACATTACAAAGGGGGACAGAACATGTGACAGAACAATACCAATACAATGCAAAACATGAGGGGATCGAGGGCCCTGCTCTTTTGAGCTTACAATATAAAGGAACATTCAGGATGCAACTTGCCCTTTAACATTTGGTAAATATACATCTTTACTCAGACATGTATTGCAAGAGAGCCCTGGAAATGCCCAATGGTTTACAGCAGTGGTCTCCAAACTATGGCCCGCAGGCCAGATGCACCACTTTGCTTGCCTTTATCTGGTCCTTTAGGGCTCTATAACGCCCACTGATATGAGACACTAATCCGACCACTGACACCAACAATTGGGCACTATTCCTCCCACTGATGCCAATGATGGGGCACTATTTCTCCCACTGATACCAATGATGGAGCACTATTTCTCCCAGTGATACCAAGGATGAGGCAGTACTCCTCCCACTGATACCAATGATGGGGCATTATTCCTCCCACTGACACCAGTGATCGAGCACTATTCCTCCCACTGACAGCAATGATGGGGCACTATTCCTCCCACTGATACCAGTGATGGGGCAGTACTCTTCCCACTGATACCAATGATGGGGCACTATTCCTCCCACTGATACCAATGATGGGGCAGTACTACTGATACCAATGATGGGGCACTATTCCTCCCACTGATACCAATGATGAGGCAGTACTCCTCCCACTGACACCAGTGATGGGACACTAATCCTCCCACTGACACCAATGATGGGACACTAATCCTCCCACTGACACCAATGATGGGGCAGTATTCCTCCCACTGATACCAGTGATGGGGCAGTACTCTTCCCATTGATACCAATGATGGGGCAGTATTCGTCTCACTGATACCAGTGATGGGGCAGTACTCCTCCTCCTACTGAGCACAGGCTCTATAATTGTTTTTCTCCCACTGACCACCAAGCCTGAAGCATTGTTTGCTCCCACCGATGCCGGGATATTCCCACTAGCCACAATCTGTCCCCCCTAAAGTCTAAAAGACAGTAAATTGGCTTTGTGTTTCCAAAGTTTGGAGAGCCCAGAATAGAAAATAGGATGGGACACCTCTACACCTGGACTACTGGACAATGTCTTTAATGATGATTCTTACAGAATTGTACAATTTTGTTCACTAACCCTAAAGCTGGCTACACATGGATCAAAATTTGGCTGGTTCAGCAGGGACTGGCAGAATTTTGATCCATGTATGGGCTAGCTGGTTGTACACAAGTTTATCTATCGATTGACTTGTGTACAACCAGCCTGTGTTTTTTTTTTTTTCTGAAAGGTCAGGGTCGCTTGCTATAGCCGGCAACAATGATCTTTGTATTCTGCCTGTGGGGATGTCTACCCAAAGGCAGAATACAATAGCTCAGCAGGAAGGATTCTCCCATTCACATTGAATGTGTGGATGGGGGAATCGGCTCATTTTTTTTTTTTCGTTCAACATGCTGCTTGAACAAATTAAAAATGAAACATGTTTGGATTGCCTAATCTTTGTCTTTTGTCAATTGTGAAGGCATGCAAGTTTCCTACTATGAAGTTCTCCTATAAAAGAATGCTAAAATTGGGTCAGAAATGTGTGTGTTCAGCCACTGGTTTCAGAACATAATCAAAGCAGCTAGGTGAGGTCCATACTGTTCTATCTGAATTTGTCTTTGGACTGGCTTTGTACCAATGAAGGCCTTACACTGTACTAACCAATAACATGAAAAAGCCACACTGTGTTAAAGTGGAATTATACCCAAAAACAAACAAACATATTATATTGCAACTTACCAATTATTACATGTGATACTTCCTTTCAATTTCTTTTTTAGGTTTTCTTTATTTTCACCTGGTGATCATGACAGTGAGTCTGTTTTTCAACAGAACAAGCTGTCCTGCAGTTGTGGCAGTTAGAAGGTTTTTACAAACCATTTACAGTACTAATGACAGGTGTGCTTACACACTGATCAGCTTTTACTTATTTCTCCCTTTATCCCAAAAGAAACAAAACTTTGCTGTAACTGCTTATAAGGTGTTAGCTGGAATTTAGCTTCAGTTTGTTATTGTATTTATATCTGCTAGGCCAAGTGCATCTAACACTCCCCTCCCCCAGACTGACAATGATGCTGTCCAAAAGTGTCTCTGCTGCTCCTTCCTCCAGAGTGTAGGAGATGTGTTACTGGCCATGTCACAAAGGAAAAAAGCCTGAAAAAAGGAAATGAATGCAGCCACCACATGTAATTATTGGTATGCTGTAATATATTACATTATTGGTTTTGGGCTTAATATCATCTTAAAGATCCAGGCCACTAAGACCTTTACTAAATGCTTGCTAAAATGAGAACTTGTTTGCTAAATGTGAACCCTTTCTAAAAACAAGTAACTTTGCATATGCTTAGAGCTTTTCTAATTACTTTAGAATTTTGCATTAACACATTTTAATACATTTGTTCAGTAATTTAAACATATAATCATTATCACCAGTTATATTAATGCAGTGCATTGCCAACAGCCATTTGTTTCATTGTAAAACTGTAATTACTTGAAATATTATGACCTACATTGAAATGTAATCCTCCTGCCAACATTACCTAACCTTTCCTTGTCAAAGTACAAATCAGAGCACAAGGAAGCTGGCTGCTTAAATATGAGTCTGACTTCCCCATGTGTATTCCTGGGGGTTATGACTAACTGATTTATATATATATTACAGGTGACTAAACAATAATGTGCAAATATTATAAAGACAAATATTGTTTTATGTGATCAAGATAAACCGTTATCGTTCACAAGGAAATTGCTATATGTGGTTAATTTGAAAATATATGAAATATACGAAAAAAATTAAAAATATATTTTTTTTAAAATAGATTCTTCAGATTTTTTTAACATATAAAAAAGTCATTTTAGCATATATTTTTAACATATATTCGTAAATGCATTCCAAAAATGTAGATTTGTATTTTGAAAGACATACAGTATATTTCAAATGTATTTTTAAAAATATTTTTCATATATTTTTTGTAATAAAAACGCATTTCAACATACAAATATATATATATATATATATATATATATATATATATATATATATATATATATATATATATATTTGAATATGACCAATATTGTAGTATTTCAAATATATGTCAATATATTTGGGAAGAGTATTTTTAAAGTGTATTTCAAATATATTTTTCTTCCATATGGGAGTGTGGAGCCTTTTTAAATTTAAAGTGAACCTCTCTTTGAAAAAAAAAGTTGAAACACAACAAGTACCCCCATAAGAGCACTCACATATGCAAATACAGACTTTTCTTCACAAAGTTGATGGCCACCCCCCCCCCCCCCCCCCACACACACACACACACACACACACACACCACTTCCTCTTAGCTATTGGTGCTCAATCTTGATGAGCAGGCTCAGGAACCAATACTTATTCTCTTTAGGTAAAAGGCATTTTAAAAAAAGGTTCCCCTCCCCCACAACTACATGACTAAAGTTCTGCTTGTAATCTTCATCTGGTGCATTTTTATCTAAGCAGTATTCCACAAAATGTATTCTTATAAAGGTTTCCTTAAGTTTCAGATTCATTCAATTGTCCAGATGCTGTTTTTGTGAGAAATCTCACATTTTAGAAAAAAAAAGATATTCTATTCCCACTTTTTTTGCAGGAAATTTGCCAACGATTAATGTCAAATAACTTTAACTTTTATATAAAAAAATGTTTAATCTCCCAAAGGGAGACACAGACAGTGAAAAAACTAATGTCAAGCAGGTAGGTAGGTGGCACTGGACACCTGGGGTACTGGTGACAGGGTATAATGCCACATGTGGAGTCAATAGTGTGTTCGCACTGAGCAGGCACCTTGCATTGTCAAAAGAACCCCCGAAAAGAATCTTCAGATTGGAACTTGAGGATAACATCAGAGCAACACATTTGAAAACTGGCCCCTAGCTTTAACCACTTGTCTACCGGGCACTTTTACCTCCTTCGTGCCCAGGACAATTTTCAGCTTTCAGCACTGTCGTACTTTGAATGACAATTGCACGGTCATGCAACATTGTACCCATATTAAATTTTTATAATTTTTTTTAGACAAATAGAGTTTTCTTTTGGCCTTATTTAAACGCCACTGGGCATTTTATTTTTTGCACTATAAACAAAAAAATAGCAAAAATATGGGGAAAAAACGTTTTTCTTAGTTTCTATTATAAAATTTTGCAAACAGGTAATTGTTTTCCTTCACTGATGTGCGTTTCTGAGGCTGCACTGATAGGCAGCACTGGTGGGCACTGATAGGCAGCAATGATGAGCACTGATGAGGTGGCACGGATAGGCAGCACTGATGGGCACTGATAGGCTGCACTGATAATGTGGCACTGAGGTGGCACTGGTGGGCATTGAGGAGGAACTGATGATGCTGCACTGATATGCAGCAATTATGGGTACTGATAGGTGGCACTGATGGGCACTGATAGGCAGCACTAATGGGCACTGATAGGCGGCACTGATGGGCGGCACTGACTGACAGCACTGACTAATGACACTGACTAGCAGCACTGATGGGCAGCACTGCTGGGCACTGATGGGAGCAACTGCTGGGCAGCACTGATTGGGGGCACTGATTGGTGGCACTGCTGGGCACTGATGGGTGGCACTGCTAGGCACAGATGGGCACTGGTGGGTGGCACTGCTGGGCACTGGTGGGTGGCACTGCTGGGCGGCACTGCAGGGCTCTGATCATTAGGGCACTGATCATCAATACCCTGATGATCAGTGCTGATCTGCCAAGCAGAGAAAAGCGACTGACAAGAACTGAGCCATCAGTGGTCAAGTGATGGCTCAGTTTTTGGCCTTAGAGCCAGTGGGAGACAGCTGCAGCATCACAGCAATTTTTTTTAAAATTCCCACACTTCTCCTTTAAGAAATATTATACACTTACCGGCCACTTTATTAGGTATACCTGTTCAATTGCTTGGTAGCACAAATTGCTAATCAGCCAATCACATGGCAGCAACTCAATGCATTTAAGCATTTAGACATGGTGAAGATGACTTGCTGAAGTTCAAACCGAGCATCAGAATGAGGAAGGAAGGCAGTTTAAGTGACTTTGAACGTGGCATGGTTGTTGGTGCCAGATGGGCTGGTTTGAGTATCTCAAAAACTACTGATCTACTGGAATTTTCATGCACAACCATCTTTAGGGTTTACAGAGAATGGTCCAAAAAAGAGAAAAGATCCAGTGAGTGTCAGTTGTGTGGACAAAAATGCCTTGTTAATGTCAGAGGTCAGAGGAGAATGGGCAGACTGGTCCGAGATGATAGAAAGGCAACGGTAACTTAAATGACCACTTGTTACAACCAAGTCATGCAGAATATCATCTCTAAACACACAACATGTCAAACCTTGAGGCAGATTGGCTACAGCAGCAGAAGATCACACCAGGTGCCACTCCCGTCAGCTAAGAGCAGGAAATGGAGGCTACAATTCGCACAAGCTCACCAAAATTGGACAATAGAAGATTGGAAAAATGTTACCTTGTCTGATGAGTCTCGAATTTCCCTAGAGATGGTTGTGCGTGAAAATCCCAGTAGATTAGCAGTTTTTTAAATACTCAGACCAGCCCATCTGGCACCAACAACCATGCCACATTCAAAATCACCTTCCTTTCCCATTCTGATGCCCGGTTTGAACTTCAGCAAGTTGTCTTCACCACGTCTAGATGCCTAAATGTATTGAGTTGCTGCCATGCGATTGGCTGATTAGCAACTTGTGCTACCAAGCATTTGAACAGGTGTACCTAATAGTGGTGGGTGAGCGTATATTCTTAATATAGGAAATTACCATGTTTTATATTTCAATAATTTTTTTATTAAGGATCTTGTAAACAAAAAAGCAGGTATACATACAACATTCAAATATGGGTTAGACATGCAGGTA